CGGAGCTCCATGGCCAGAGGACCACTGGGCTGCCCAGAGACACAGGGGTACAGAAGGGTGAGACGTGAAAATGGGGTGTGGGCTGAGTCATGGGGACACTTTTAAATATCCCACTTCACCTCTTCAGGTTCCCAGATGGGCTGTTGGGTCCCCGTCACATTTGGAGTACACAGTGATTTTTTTGTTTGGTTTTTTTTTTTCATGCCTGGTCTTCCCTGTGGGCGCCTCTTCAATGGGTTTTGAAAGCCCACGAGGATGGTTTGGGGTTAGGTGGGGAAGGGGGGGCTGGCGTCACCCATTTCTCACGAGGGGCTCTGCTTGGAAAAGCACCATGGTGCCACTTGTGGCTGTTTCTTCAGGAGTCCGTGGAAAAAATGGGAATATTCCGCAAAGCACTGCAGCAAACTTCCCTTCTCAGCCCCGTCTCCTTACGCAGCGAGGTCTGTTGTGGGGGGTGTTTGATGTGCTGAGAAGAGGTTTGGTGGCTTTGGAAGAGCTGAAGCATGAATCCGAGATATTGTAATGGTGTGTTTTTGTGATCTGCCCATGTTTTCCATCCTGCTTTTAAAGTGCAACATGAAGCGATGGGACTGTGCAGCATTTTGTTTTGGAAAAAAAAAAAAAAAAAAAAAGCATCTTTCTGTTCTCTTTTAATGCACTGCTTTGAACTTTAATGGCATAAAATGCTGTCAAATCACAAAGAATCTAAACCCCCAAGTTATTTTCTTTACCTCCACACTCTGCAGGGAGCGAAAGCAGCGGCGCTGCTGCAGCACCATGAGGATTCTGTTCCCATACCCAGATTCCTTTTGCCTGAGCCGTGCAAGACTCTTCTCCCATGAAGTTTTGGTTTTGATTCTCTGTCTTGCTTCCTATTTTTTTTTTCATCTTAAATTGTTTGAATTTCCTTTTGGATGTGTCTGCTGGGAGGGGAGTCGGGGGGATGAGTAAACAAGAGCCAGAGTTTCAGCATCCATCTGATCGATAAGGGTTTTGATGGGAGAGATAGCCCTGAGGCCAGCCTACATGTAGCTGTTAGAAGTTGTAGCTGCCTACAATGGGAGTTGTTAAAAACCCGGCGTACTCCATCGTGTGAGGCGCTACAAGACTAAAATATTTTTCTTTCTTTATAAAAGAAAGCTAAGAAGTCTGCCTCTGTTCCAGCAGAAAGGGGAGGGGGGAAAAAAAAAAAAAGTGTTTTCTTGTCTGTGCATAAAGGGCAATGTGGAAAAAGAGGAGGGGAAAAAAATGGAATATTTACTTAAAAGGCAGAGGACATGGTTTTGTGCCGGCCGCCCCTGCTCACTGTGGAGTGGTAGTGGCTAATAGCTGGAGATGAAACTAATACTTGGCAGGGGATGAGACACAGCGCAGGCCCCCTCGTATTAGGGGCTCGCGGAGCGCTTGCTTTATGTCAGGGCTGCGAGATGAGTTCATCTTCGCAGGATTTGCTTGAGTGCGCTGGGAGATGAAAGGAGGCAAAAGGAACCCACCGCGGCACGGGGAGCGGGGCGGCGGCGACGGATGGGGCTGGGGGAGCAGAGGGACCCTGGAAAGCGTTCCGGAGGGAGAGGGGTTTCGGATGAGCCTGTTAACCATCTCTTTTCGGGGGTTTTATTTGCCTGCGGGGCATGGGCTGGGTGCTTTTGCGGCTGGATTTTAAAGCCTTTCTTCACCCCCAGCTGGGAAAAGTGGGGTGGAAAGGAGACTTGGAGCTGCTTAATGTGCAGTTACCTAAAGCTCATGTCCTCGTGTGTTTGATGGAGTTCTTTGAGCTGGCAGAGCCGTCACCGGCGGGGGGGGGGGGGGGGGGGAGGGGTGGCAGGGTGGCAGAGGTGGTTTCACACATTGGTTTCCCCCCCCGGAGATGCAGGTGTGTGCGGATGGACTGGAGCTCATGCCATGAACTGCCCAGAGGTGATTTCAGTAAGATCTCTCCTATTTTAGATGCATCAAAGCAGGAGGTGTGAAAAAACCTCCCCGTGTTCAATATGTGTGGACATTGTTGACTTCACCAAAATATTTCCTGGAAAGCAGAGATGGCACCAGGGATGGTGGCACCTACAGGGAGATGTTCTTGTCGAACAGCCACTGGGTTCCTCCTTTGCTTTTCCCCACTAGGTATGGTAATTTGCAATAAACCGTGGGGAAAAAACTACTTAAATGTTTATTGCCAACTGTCCCCCTAATTAACTGATGGGGCAACTTGAGTTTTGAAGTTCTCCCATTCTTCATCTGCAAGGGAAATTCAGGGGCTGAGTGGTAGTTTCTAAAACATGTCAGAACAAACCCAGCGTACCTAATGGGCATGCAGGGCTTTGCGGAGGTTGGGAGGTTAAACAGATGCAGAGCTGGGTAATTGCTACCAGCCTCGGGGCCAGCAGATGAAAATCTCTGGGTTTGTCTGCAGCATCCCCCCAGCATCACTCGAGTGGGACAACAGCAAAAGTCAGTGTTTGAGGAGAGTTTTGGAAAGGCACTGGGGGCATCTCAGCTGGGTGATGTCCCAGTGGAAGATGCAGCGGCAGGTGAAGCTCGGTTGCTCGGTACCTCTTCTTTCTGCTGTCATGCTGTTTTCATCATTTATGATCTACATCTTGTTTCACCTCTTAAAATATGGAATTATTTACTGTAGTGCATCTTAAAGAGCAAAATGTGCTGACAGTCTGCACGGTGGTAGACCAAGGATGTTATCAAAGCAAGTCAAATGATTTTCTTCCATGCCAAGCTGTTGATGTCAGGGCTTTGTACAGATGTAGCTAAGGGTGGTCTTGCTTCAGTAACCTTCCATTAGATAAGATTGTTTGGGTCAGATTTGTGTTAATGCCATAAGCTTGGTTAACATCATTTTTGCTGCTGCAGAAATACTGCAAAGAGTTTCTGAAACTTTTTTAATTGAATCAAAATTTCTGTTCTTGGTGAAGATCTCAGTGCATCATGTTGACACTAGGCAGCTGGGGAGGTTTTTAACCCAGAATTACATTTGAGTCTTCTCTTCCTTCCCTAAAACTTAGTGTTTGCATGGCTAGTGCTTTGCAAGGCATCCTGAGATACTTCAGGAAGAGTCAAGTCCAGTCGTTAATATTTAATGATGTGCTTGGGTGCAGCATATCCATCATAGCTTGGCAATGAAGTCTCTACCCTTCCGGAGTAGGTTGGGTTGTAACTCCTGGTGATCCGGATGCAGGAGGGTCACTTGAGCTGGTAACGGAAATACAGTTATTGGCCAAAGAGTAAGAATGGGCAAAAACCTTTAGTTTTGCTGATTTTTGTCGTTAGCAGAGTGCAGCATTAGGATGAGCTTATTACGGAGGGACTCTGAGCGGTTTCCACTGAGGATGGCTCAGAAGCCTGGAGACACAAAGACCCATCGGTGGCACTGGGATGTGGTGGAGTGTCCCACCCCGCTGCAAGGGCTGGGGTTGGGGGACAAGACCTGGTCCTTGGGGGAAGGAAATCCAAGTTTGTGTATCAAACCAAAAAGGGGCTGTTGGCGGCCGTGCTGGCTCCTAAAAATTATTTAAACAAATGATGGGGGAGAAAGGGGCCAATCTGGCATTTTCGGGGTGTGTTTAGACTTGCGACAGGTGAACAGGTTGGTGCAAGACGATGAGCATCGCCCACAGCAAAGACCATCCCACTGGCCCCGCTGCCTCCTCGCTTGCCAAATTCCCCCCCTTCCCCCATCTCCCTCCCCTTAAATTTGTATAGTTACAACTCAAGTTAAACTCTAACAAAGCCGCTTAATTCAAAGATCGTTAATGGGGAGGAGAGCCTCTTCCCCTCCAGGGTAATTTGAGCCTGAAAAGAACTGGGGCTGGAGGGCTGCACTTGAAATCCGGTGTGTCAATAGGGTCTCTGAAGCAAAATAATGGCATCACCCCGCATGCGGGTTAATCGGACATGATGGCACGAAGGCAGAGGGGTCAGCAGGCCGTGGGCGCGTGATATATTGTCAGGGAGCTTAATGGCGAGCACGGAGCAGGGCTGGCTCGAATGAGAGCTGCTTGCTTGAAATCCCAGGGTGGCTTTCTGTTAACTGGTGCGGTAGGAGCAGGATGAGCAAGATGTTAATTCGCCCTCTTTGGGGCTCTTTTACGGCTGAGAGTTCCCATCTTCCTTCTGGAGGAATCATAAATTCCAGAGGCATCATAAATTAAATAGATTTCTGGCAGTCTGTGTCCCTCCTGTCTTCCTTGAATGCAGTTCCTAGAAAGAAGAGACATTTCTCATTGTTCTGGAGAGAGTTCCAATGGCTTTGTAGGAGGACACGTATAGTTCATAGCAGCTACTCCCCTTTGACGTGAAATGCCTCCTCGGATTTCATGTTCCCCGTGGGAACATCAGCATCGCTGTCAAAGAATATTAGATAGCAGAGATAGCTGTCGGGTCAGTCATCCAAGCACTTCGCAGACATCCCCTGTGTTTCAGCTCAATGCAAGTTGGCCTTTGAAAACGGGGGTACACCACCACAGCAATGGGGAGGAGCTTGGGGACCCGCCAAGCGCCAGGGTGGCTGAATTCTTGCTGGTAGAAACACACGTGTCTTGCGTACACAGGGTCCCGACTGCTGGACACAGTACTGAACGTGAAATTGGAGAGAAGAGGAGGCATTGAGGTCCATGGGAGCTGGTGGGTGGCCAGTTGGGTCACCAGCCTTTGCTTGAGCCTTCTTTCTTGGTGCCATTTGACATAAGATGGGTCTGGGGTTGAGCGCCGGTCTTGGGTGGAGTGTGGGCCTTGGGTTGAGTGCAAGCTTTGGGTTGAGCACGAGTGTTGGGTTGAGTGTGGGCATTGGGTTGAGCACGAGCGTTGGGTTGAGCACAAGCATTGGGTTGAACACGAGTTTTGGATTGAACATGAGTTTTGGGTTGAACACAAGTTGAGTTTCTGTGTGAGCAAAGCCGACGGGTGGGAAGAGCCATTTGCTTCCCCTCCATATCTGTCTTTTCCCAGGCAGTCCCAGCAAATCCTGACTCTTCCTCTGCTTTCCCCCACAGATGCCAGTACGTCACCCGATGCCGTGAAGAGGAGCCATTGGTGCAACGTGGCCTATTGGGAGCACCGGACGCGCGTTGGGCGCCTCTACACAGTGTACGAACAGTCTGTCAGTATCTTTTATGACCTACCTCAAGGAAACGGCTTCTGCCTCGGACAGCTAAACCTGGAAAACAGGAGCGAGACTGTGAGAAGGACTCGAAGTAAAATTGGTTACGGGATTTTACTTAGCAAGGAACCGGACGGTGTGTGGGCTTACAACCGCAGCGAGCATCCCATCTTCGTCAACTCCCCGACACTGGACATCCCCAACTGTAGGACTTTGATAGTGCGCAAGGTGATGCCGGGCTATTCCATCAAGGTCTTTGACTACGAGAAGTCCTGCCTCTTGCAGCACACGGCTGATCTGGATTACACGGACGGGCCCTACGACCCGAACAGCGTGCGGATTAGCTTCGCTAAAGGCTGGGGGCCGTGTTACTCGAGACAGTTTATCACGTCGTGTCCTTGTTGGCTGGAGATTTTACTCAGTAACAATCGATAACGGTCAGCCTCTGACGAAAGGAAAAAAAAAAAAAAAAAGACACAGACTATCCCAAATATCATCTACCTAGATTTAATATAAAGTTTTATATATTATATGAAAATATATATTATACTTGTAATTATGGAGTCATTTTTACAATGTAATTATTTATGTATGGTGCAATGTGTATATGGACAAAAAACAGAAAATGCACTTTGGCTTATATAATTCTTTCAATACAGATTTTTTTAAAAAAGAAAAATTATACAGCAAAAATAGGAGAAAGCCCTAATTTTGATGTATGGTTTTTTGAAATATTATTAATACCCAGACAAAAAGCTAATACCAGTCACTCATTGATAATAAAGTATTCGCATTATGGGGGGGGGTTTAATTGTCTTTTTTTTACCCCCCCCACTGACTGAAGCCCGCAGCAGTGTCTTGGGCGCTCTGCAGCTGGGGGGAGTTTCCAGACCCTTAGAAAAACCAGGGAATTGCTGGAAGGCTGCGGTTATCTCCAAGAGGAGGGTAGATGAGGACAGTTTGAGAACCAGGGAGCAAACGAGAAGGTGAGATGATCATCTCCCATGATGGGGATGCTGTGAAGATGAGCGTGCATGTTCGTGTTCGTGCAAATTAATGGTTATCAGTGGAAAAATCAATGGGTGTCGTGCTGGTGGGAAGAGCAGAATAGACCATGGCCCTAAGAGCTGCCCAGTAGGACCAGTTGCACAGGGGTTGTCCGTATCTCCCAGATGTGTTTGATGGTTGAGAAACAAATGCTGGTTTTGGACAACTCATGGTTGGGTGGATCCTCAGTTGGAGTCACTGAGGCATGTTCTGAATTTTGGGAACCCCTGTGGTAACCTGAAACAAAGTGGAGGTGAGTTGGATGAGTTCTGTGCAGGCTGGTCCTGTAGCTCTCCCAGTCTGTCTCCCAGTAAACCGACGCAGAATTTTTTGGGAAGAATCTGTTTGCTCTGAGGAGCAGTTGCAGCCAGAAATAGTCCTGGTCAGATGAGCTTGTCTGGGCTGATTTACTCTCTGGAAATCCTGGATAAAATCAGGCACTTCACTGAGTTGTGCACGAGCGGCGGCGCTGTCAGCGCCGGAGCACCCACGCGCTTGCACGGGCAGGTTGGACGTTGTCTGGCTTCGCTTGATTCGTGAGGTTATTTATTGCTGGTGACTGGTGTTGCCAAGTCTTGGAGTTGGGTTACAAATCCCTGTACGTCTGATTTTCGTAAAGTCCCAGTCTCTGGAGTCTGGCGATGGCAGAAGCGCCACAGCTTTCAGTGTGACAGAGGAGGTTTTTGTAGCCCTCGTATTTGCAGAGAAAAACATGCGATGAGATCTCCTTAATGGCTCCAAACCTGGATAGAGAACAAAATAGGACATCAGCTTCCTGTGAAAAATCCCTCCTGATGTCAGGGTCGTGCATTGTGGCATCTGGAGTTGGCGTTTCTCCAGCAGCCGTGAGCAGAGATGGGGCAGGTGGGGACCACGTCCCCCCAGGGAAGGGACCGTATCCTGCCAGGGAAGGGATGACGTCCCACCAGGGAAACGTGTGGACCTGGGGTGGCCATCGGGGAGAAGATGGGAGCAGGGAATGTCGCAATGCCATTTCCACAGTTGTTTTTCAAATCATAACCATACTTGATATTTAATTGGGACCACATTGGTTGAGTTCATGCAGCATCAGTATTCCTACTTGACATCATCAATTTTTGTTTGTGTTACAGCCATTGTTGTCAGGGGACGGTGTCAAAACATGTCACTATTGTTTAAAGCCAGCTTTCAAGAGCCTTGCAGGGTTGGTTTTTTTTTAATCCCCTTTGGCTTAGATTTGGTGTGTGCTGCCATACCACCTCCATCACTCACTGTATCGCTTCCACGCAGTCGGTTAAGAGGCCACTTTTATGTTGAGGTTTTGGTTTTGTGTTTTTTTTTAAAGAGATTTTTGTTAGTATCATCCTCATTTTAACTGGAAAAAAACAGCCAAAAGCTGAGTTCCTTCTCCCTGTTTCCTCCACTCCTGGCATTTCCCACCACCACTCCAGGTTTTGCATTCGCATCCCAAGCTGGCTGCTGCCTTCCTCCCTCCCTTACTCCTCCTCTTTTCCTCTTTCTAACAGCTTCTTCCACATTTTGCACAAAACAGCACCAATTATGGACTTTCCTGTTTGCTTTTGTACCACCCACCTTCTCCCAGAGCTCACGTGCTGTTGATTTTTCCTCTGTGCTTGCAGCGCGGCCGGGCTGGTCGGGCACCTTTCAGCTCCTGGTTTGCATCAGCAAAAGGATTTTCTGTGTGTTGAAATTTGCTGGTTAACTTTGGGGTTTCCCTTGTGCAATCCACTGATTGTGCTTTAATTTTTCTTTTTTTAATTACTCATACACTTCCCCAGGAATAAATCTGGAGTTTTATTTCAGTTGACAGCGAGGCTTTAAAGGGAATTAAAAAAGGATTTTACCGTGAGGCAATGAAACAAGGCTTCAAGTATTCCTTTCTGTCCCATTTCTCCCCTTTAATACCTTCACTGTAATCATTCAAACTTAGGACCCTTTAAAGATGCTTCCAAGGTGCTGAACTCCGCTCTGGACCTTGCAAAGATCAGCTGAAGCCTCGGTGTGATCCCCGCCCCCCCCAAGGTGTGAACTCGGGGGGCTGTGAGCTGGCACCTGGAGCAGCCCTTGGGGTGACTGGGGGTTGGGGGCCCTTACATCAGGGCAAGAGGAATTTTTTCTTTTCCCTGCCAGGGTTAGCAGGAGCAGCTGGGCATCGTTGGGTTTTGCTAACGACCCCATGGGTCTCTGATGTGCCTGCACCCACAGCTGCCAGCGTTTGCTCGTCTGTCCCACCCCTATAAAAATGAGAAGGCTGGAGCTTCATGCTTTCCTTCAAATGGGGCTGCTGCTTGCTGGGGGAACAGTTGTGGTCGTCCAAGACATGAGGTGAGTGGCATCTTCTCCTCATTTCTCTGAGGTCTGTATGGGGTTGTACGTACATTTTTTTTAAGGGCAGAAATGTAAGCTGTCCCCTGGTGGGAGCATGCAGAGGAGGGGCTTGGGCTGAGCTCCTGCCTGGGGTGTCTCGGGGCTGCGTGGGTTTGTGTGATTGCCTTTGAGCTGCAGTTGGGTTTGCTTTGTCCTGGCAAGGTGGTTGTGGCTTTTCTGGAAGGGTTTGTTGGGCTGTGCAACAGGGAAGTGGTTTTTTTTCTTTCTCCTCTGGGTTTGAACTCTGGGCTGAAGGAGCTGGATGTGCCCCCAGTAGCATAGCAAGGTCCTTATGGCATCTCCCAGCCCTGCACAGTCGGAGACCCCAGGGCAGCACATCCCTGAACAAACAGCTTTTCCTCCTCTGCTGAAGGGCTTCTGCCCTTGGAGCTCACCCCAACTTTTCCACTGTTGGTATGGGGGGGGTTGGCTGGGTTTGGTGCTGTGGCTGATCTCAGGCTGGTGAGCCTCATCCCTCCGAGGCTGGGACTCCCTGATTGTCTGCGGAGGTGGTGGGACGTGGAGATGTTCCGAGGTGTTCCTTGGACAGTGGAACTTGGTGGACATCCCTCCCTGAGCCCCAAGAGGCGTTGGCTGGTTCCTCCTGGTGTTACGGGTGCAACCAGGAGGATGGAGGCTGTGTGGTCTGTTCATAGCTGCCCAGATACACCCAGAGTCCAGCTGAGTGGGAGTCCTGAATAAGGAATTCTAGCGTTGGACCCGAGTCCTTGTGGGTTTTGATTTGTGGAGTGTGTTTATTTGATAAGATCCTTTTAATTGGAGTAATAGTGTATTTTAGAACTGTGTGTAATGGGCTGATGAGAAGCAGCTGCTGGTGAATCTGCTGCTCCTGGGTTGCTGTGACTGGCTTTCAACCTCAACGAGGAACTGGGTGTGGGGTGGCTGTGGAGCTGTGCTGGGGGGCAAGAGGAGTCCCAGTGCCTTTGCCCCATCGTGTCCCTCATGTGAGTGTTTTGGGGCAGGAGCCGCCTCGGGGGTGAACCCAGAGCTGCTCCAAGGGGTGGCCAACATCAACCCCAGCCTTCTAGAAAGCAAAAATAGATTCATCTCCACTTCCCCTCCCTGGAGGTGGACTGGGTTGATGAATCTGGCAAGCCCCTGGGAAGGGCGGTGTGCTGGGGGGGACGAGGCATTGCAACGGGGCCTGCAGCATCCCTCGGTGCTGGGTGGCATTCCCAGGGCTGGTCCCTGCTGCCACTGTCCCAAGACTGGGTCCAGGAACCCGTGACGCAGTGGTTAAGTGCAGAGCGTCCAGAGGGATTTCCTGTCGATAGCTTCTTTCGCTTTCCTCAAAGGTTTTATTTTCCAGTTGGTGCGTGAGGAAGCATTGCTTGCTGCTTCGCGGATGATCCTTTCTCTATTCCTGATTTATGTATGTGCTGGTGCGATGCACAAAGTAGCATCTGTACTATATACACTGTGGGAACAACCCAAAATTGCTCAAACTCGACTGGCTTACAATTATATTGGATTCTATTAAATTAAAACACATAGCACATATATTACACAATAAACCACAGCTATTTCATGGATCAAATTAAGTTTTATTTGGGCAAATTACAACCTTTCTTACAGTTGGGCCTTTGTGAAACCATTCCTTTTTAATAAAAGCAGGCATTTTTGGCAACTGCTCTTAAAAGTGTGCATTCCCAATAATTGCATATACTGTTGCTATTCTTTCAGGGATATATGTGGCTAATTATCTTCTTCTATTTAGGATAGGCTCAAATGAGCGGTATCTTCTCTTTCCTCCTCCCTCCTGCCTCCCTTCTGCTGGAATTTCTGATTGCTTTCCATTTTTATTAGCTTGGCTATGGAAGTCGGCAGGGGAAAAAAAAAAAGTCTCCTCGTTAAAAGCCAGAGTGCCTTTCCTGGAATTTCTTGGGGAAATGTGACTCTTGCAGCCGCTCTCTGGCCCCGGCTCAGAGGGATGCGGGGCTTGGGGGACAGAGCTGAAAACAAACCCCTGGGAGGGAGGTGAGGTGGAACCTGGCGTGTGCAGGAGGAAGCTCTGCGAGGGGGGTGTGAATGCATCCTGCTTGTGGGGGCTCTGGATTAACTAAGTGTTTTGTTTCTGCTGCAGCCTTTTCCTGCACAGGGACAGCAAGGGGTGTGCACGATGGCATGCCAGACCCCACGAAATGTCTTTTGCAATTGCTCATCCTTGTGCAGTTTTTGTTTAGGATCAAATAAATGGTTCAAAAAAAAGTGTGGGGAGGGAGGGACAGACAGGGTGGCTCACTCCC